CCCCAAAACCCCAAAACCCCAAAACCCCAAAACCCCAATTTAAACATTAGCCATTGAGAAATAATAATTTATCAGACGCGATAATTAATGGAAGCTGCTAATAGCATGACTGTCTACGTCCCAACCTCGCTTGAAATCGAGCCTGAAACAGATATGCAACAAGACAACTCTGATATGGACTTTGATAGAAGCCAGATCACAGTCCGTTGCTGTCTCTGTGGAACTATCACACCCAGGACTGCAGAAAATTCCAATAATATATGCGCAGAGTGCATGAGAATTAACTCTGACATCACTGAAGGCATCACTAAGCAGATTATTCTATATAGATGCAGAACTTGTTTGAGGTATAACGGCCCTCCATGGATCCACTATGAAAGAGAATCTCCTCAACTCCTCACGATGCTTTTAAAGAAAGTCAAAGGTCTAAAGAGTGTTAAATTGCTAGATGCTAATTTTGTCTACACAGAAGAACATTCTAAAAGGATTAAGATCAGAATAACTATCCAAAAGGAAGTAGATGGAGGGTCTGTCCTTCAAACCAACCTCATTGTTGAATATGTGGAAAATAATCAGCAGTGCGAAGAATGCCAAAAGTCTTTTACACCCCATATTTGGACTGCTGTTGTCCAAGTTCGTCAAAAGGTTGACCACAAAAGAACTTTCCTTTACCTTGAACAGCTCATTTTAAAGAACAAGACACATGACAAGTGCATCAAGGTGTCAGAGAAAGATGATGGGTTGGATTTCTATTTCAAGAACAAATCAGGAGCTAGTAGTTTGAAGAACTTTATCACCTCCAAAATCCCCATAAAGTTTAAGGTTGCCAAAAAGTTAATATCCCACGATGTGCACACTAGCAATTACAACTACAAGTATACAATCTTGTGCGATATTGCTCCAATCTGCAGAGACGATCTTTGTGTCATTCCTAAGAAGTTGTCAAATTTACTTGGGGGAATTGGACCATTAGTACTTTGCTATAAAGTCTCACAGCACATTCATATTGTAGACGTGATGACAATGGAGACTCAGCAGATAGACAGCACTCTGTACTACCAACATGTGTTCCAAGGATTCATGTCAAAGAACCAGCTTACTGAATTCATCGTGATAGACATTGATTCCCCAGAATTTGATCCAAATGAAACCAAGGCTATTAGAAGAGAAAACTTCAGATGCGTCCAAGTTGAACTCAAGAGAGCAAGTGACTTAGACAACCCAGACAAAGGTAAGCTTCCTCGTTACAAATTGTAGGCAGCAATGATACTTACTTAGTCAACACTCATCTTGGGGAAGTTCTCAATTATAACGATTCAGTCTTGTGCTATGACCTCGCAAATGCTAACCTCGGTGAGAGCATCGAGAATGGAAAGAAGGATGTCCCTGATGTAGTCCCAGTCAAGAAATACTACCCCAGGTTCAGAAGAAAGAACAGAAAGAGATATTGGAAGCTAGATAGAATTCCAATGCAAGACGAGACTGGCTTAGAGGAAGAGGATATGGAAGAAGAAGCAAAAACAAAGACTAAGTCACGCAAGAAGTCCAAAAAGTCTAAAAAGAAGTCTAAACAAGAGACTGATCGTGACCGTGAGTTTGAAGAATTCCTCCAACAACTTGAGGAAGATCCTGAGCTTCGTCAAAATATTAACCTTTACCCTGACAGAGGTATCATGTCAGATCTAGAGTCAAAATTCTCAATGATGAATCTCGAAGAGAAGAAGAAAGAAATTGCTGATGCAAACAAGCTAATCAAAAAGAAGAAAATAGTAAAAGCAAAGCGTAAGACAGAAAAAGGAAAAGAGCTCCACAAGGAAGCCCAAATCAACAAAGCAAAAGTGAAGATGTACATGAAAGCTATCAAGGAGGACGATGAATCAGACTTAGAAGAAGATTTCCCAGTTGTCCAAATGACAGAGTTGCTGGATAACTTAAAGCTCGAAGATGATTAATTTCAAATATATTTCAATATTCAATATCAACTAAGGGGTTTTGGGGTTTTGGGGTTTTGGGGTTTTGGGGTTTTGGGG